CAAGACCTCTCCTCTACAGTGCACTACAGAGGTTAGTGATTATACAGAGTTACACAATCTACGTACATGATGTATGATAACAAAACATAATGTACTGTAAAGAAATATATGAAGGTAACGTGGTTACATATACAAGTTATAATCTAATACTGTGTATGTACAATCCATTTAAAGTTTATGCTACCAAATATGGAATAATGCAATTGACAAATACTGATACATATATTACAGAGAATAATGTAATTACAAGTACATAATGCCGCATAGGTATGAGTATATTGTGATGACATGAATTATTGATAGGTGAATGATTAAAACAGTAATATTAAAAATATAAACATGGTAATAGTTATAGGTATTGCGATGACATGATTATTGACAATTAAATGATTGATATAGTAACATTAAAAGTATATACATGAGAGAAATTAGATAAAAGAGGCTCACAAAGCCAAATATGCCAAGGTGGGCAGTTAAGTTATAAGCTGCCTATTTCCCATTTGGCAGAAGTACTTTTTGATTAGAAATTTTAGGCTATTGTAGATTTCCCTATTCTTGGTTAGTTCACAAGGTGCACAATGGCAGCAGATACCATGAGAACCTACCATGATTTGTAGTTCCAGGCATTCCCTCTCTAGACCCAGACAATCAAAGATGTAATGCAGAGAGCCATCAGGCACCCCTTACAAATTGCAGCAGTCATCCTCCTGGATGTGGAAATGGGCAAGAAAGCTGGCAAAGCAGTCATGTCTTGTGAGGAACTGCACCTCCTTGTGAGTTAACATATTCTTTAGGTGGCTGATATGCCTGATGGTTGGGAAAAAGAAACAAGGAATAGCATATGTCCTCCCTCTTCCAAACTTCCTTCTACAGCCTACAGTTGTGGTCTTCCAGCAATGATTTCACAGTGTTCTTTGTGAAGGCAGTAAGCATGTGCATACCAAGACTCTCCTTGCTGCCTTGTCAACTTGTGTATGTGGGAGCTATAGCAAGAAGCCTGAAAGAAAGACTTAAGTTCCTTAAGTACATAATCAACAAGAATACAAACAGCACAGTGTTGGCCAACTATGCCAGGGAACAAGACATAGAGGTTGCATGGGAAGATGCAGCAATAATCTGATCAAATAGAACTCTTAACACCCTCCAATACTTGAAAATAATTGAAATAACTAAAGCCCAGAAAAAACAAATGTACTGATTTTAGAGATTCAAACAGTATCCACAGTGTGGAAATATATTTTTGAAATGTAAACTTTGACACTTATAGCCTATTAGTTATTTTTATCTTAAAATCCTTACTTCTTTAAATTTCTGTTTATATTCTGTCTACTTGGACCATGTTTATTAATAGGAATTAATAGGATTATACTGGTGTAGTTTCTGATTAACAAAGAGATGAGATCGTAGTCAAAAGACGGGAAAATATAAACGACAGCATCAGTAATCAACGAATTGTAAAATTTTTGAACAATTAGGCGAAGTCTCCTAATAATTGTACTATATAATGAATTCATTTTTAAATTTTAAGTTAATAGTTTTATTCCGTTAAATATTCATAAAATATTAGTTATTTTACTTATATACTTATTTTATTTATCATAGTGTCAGTACGTTTTTAATTAATCATAAATTTTATTTAAATTAAATGTATACCAAACAAATATATACATTTTATAATTTTCATCATTGTATAAATAAAATATTCTTTTATTTTTTCTTAACTATTATTAAAATAAATGAAAATTTAATTTAAAATAGAAAAATTACAGATCACTACAAGATGTTAAAGATTATAATCATTTTTAACAAGTTAGAAAGATATGAAGATTACAAGATCATCACTTACACGTCTACAAAAATCATACATGTAATAATTAGTAATTTTATGCTAATATTTTGTTTAAAATCTGGTAATTAATGCATGATAAGTCAATTACCTTCATTAGTAATGTCTTGATTAACTTGTAATTAATTTTTCTATTTTTAGCAAGAAAGGGATGTAGATAATGAAGAAAAGGCGTGAATCATCTGTAACCTGCCATGATATCTAACTAGAAAAATAATGGAATCAGAGAAAGAACACCAAGTAAAACTTTTTTTTTATTGCGTATTGCTCTTGTGAAGCAAGAAAGAAGGTCAGAGAAGAAACTAAAGAATTTCAAATAGTCACTTTCTGTTTGAAATAGTGTTAAATCGTTGTGCCATCTATATGCNTTTTTAACATTAAATTTTAATTATTGTTGTTTTTTATTTTCTTTTTAAATTTTATATTATGTATGTTTAAATTTTAGAACATCTTGAGTTTGTATCTGTTTGATTTTTAGTTTTAAAAACACTATTTTATGTATTCTATGCACTAGTCCTAACTGAGGAAGACCTGTGAATATGTTGAAAATGTTTTATTATAGTAAAATACTATTGGAAATCCAAAGGTGTGTTTCATTATATAATTCTATTTTTTTGTTTCCTTTTTTCTATAAATATTCTAAACCAAAAGAACAAAAGATTTTGAAAACATAAAACAACAGATTCATTAGGCATTTGATACAAATAGATGATCCCTTCTCATTTCTATTATCCCTTCATTTGGTTTAGAAGCAAATTCAAAAGAAGCCTTTGTCATAAGCAGAGGATTTTATGAAAAAGAAAAATAATATTGTCTCCCAAAAAGCCTGTTGACCTTCCCGAGATCAAGAATATAAAATCAAATCAGGCATTTAGAAGCAAAAATTGCAATTAAGGTAGTTCTTGAAGATGAGCTTTTAGGCTTAAAAGTACAGTACTTGGGTGTTAGAAGATAAACTGTTTTCTTAGTTTGGTCTCCAAAAATAGCTTAATATAACACATGGAAATTAAGGATTTAGTGCATTTTTTTAAATTTACACAATCTTTAAAATATGCATATTTTACATTAAATAATTTTTCGTTTATAATAAAATTTTAATCATTATCTAAAATTTTATTGCAAACTAATGAAGTAATTTAAGATACAATATTCATTTTACTGAAATTAAAAATTAAATAAAGTTTTCACTTCAAACTTGTAAATGTAATTTTTCATAGAAGTTTCAAGTCTTCAGCTGTTTTTTAAAACAAATCAAGATAAGAAAAATCAAATTTCTTTGAAATTCTTGTACTGAAAGCTCTAATTTGTATTAACCTATTAGCATAATCAAATATTTTCTTAATGATATGAATAGATCATGCACACATCTTTCATGATGAGACTTGTGTAATTATTGTTGACTGCTAGTATTTTTAAATAAATATTTTCTTATTGGCTGATTATTATACCTGTTTATTAAAACAGGTATAATTCTGAATTACAAAAACTTTATCTTGTTAATAAAATATTTTAATACCAAAAGACAGTTTGTATATTTGAGCCTATATGATTATACTACAAGGGTAATCCCAAAAGTAAGGTCTCCTATTTTTTTAGAAATACAAAGAAACATTTATTTTTAATAGTGTTTACATCATTTTAAAGCTTGAACATTTATCTATTTTTCTACATAATTCCAGGTCAATGCATTTTTGTAGGCACTGTAGCAATTTTTATATGCCTATGTCATACCAGCTCACTTCCAAGTCATGGAACTCATCTTGTGCATACTTTCCAATATTGTATGCAACCTTTCTGTTAAAATCCTATGAATGGTGCTTCAGGAAACCCCAGGAACCAAAATGCAGAGATCATCCAGAGTGATCTGTCAATCTTCATGAATGGTTTGCTCAACCTTTGCAACTGTCTCATTAGAAATTGATAGTCTCCCACTTCTTTCTTTGTCGCGAATTTCAGTACAACCAACTGCAAACTTCCTACACCATTTGTGGACATCCCTATGCACAACTTGCCATACACTTCTGTCAATTGGCAATGAATTTCAATTGGTTTAACATGACATGGCGACGAGATGGTATGACATGGGCATACAAAAACTGCTACAGTGCCTACAAAAATGCATAGACCGGAATGGCAATTATGTAGAAAAATAGATAAATATTCAAGCTTTAAAATGATGTAAACATTGAAAATAAACATTTATTTGTATTTCTAAAAAAAATAGGAGACCTTACTTTTGGGATTACTCTTGTATATTGTATTTAAGAGCTTATCACACATTCAGACTACAGTAGAGCATCGTTTATCCGAAAGTCAATCATCCGAAACGTCGGTTATCCGAAGGAATTCCAGTCGACAAATTTAAATTTTCGCCAGTGCTGTGGCACTGTAATCTTTGGCTATGTCTTCAGCTACTCAAATATTTTACGTTTTTGATACTAAATTAACTTCTAAAGTATAATTTTTTATTGTTTTTATATTTTTCAATATATTTATTTTGTTTGTACAAAATAAAAAAATAATTTTTAACAATACAATAGTCTTCGTTAGGCTCAACATCGACGAAAATTCAATGCAAAGCAACACACAACGGAGAAAAATTTCAACACGGGATAAATTAATATATTTTTTTGTACATAATTGGTTATCCGAACAACCCCAGTCCCCAATTGATTCGGATAAACAACGCTCTACTGTATTTTTCATTTAATATATCTAGTTACAACCAAAGGTAACAATTTCTTTACATCTTCTAGAACATTGTAAAATGAATTTTGGCTATAACACTTGCAGCCCTCTTCAGTTAGATTATTTTGGTCTAGAAGATGTAAAAAAAAAATTGTTACATTTAGTTGTAATTAGAGAGATATATTAAATGAGATAAATAGCCTCAATGTGTGATGAGTCCTTAAATACAAACAGTATAATTTTATAGGGTGAAATAAATAATAAGTTGGCAAGAAACTATTTTTCAGTTTGTATAACTTTGTTTATTAAATATATTAGTACTTGACACTTGTATATCTATTTTGGAAAAACCTTCTACAGTAATGAATTCTTTCTTTAGATAATAATTTTATAAAAAGTAAATTAAATAATAAATTCACTTTTAAAAATATTTCACAAATTTTAATATGAATTTATTATTATTTAGGTTGACTCAAATAATTTGAGATACTTGGTTGGTGCAATAATTAATGATGGACAAACAACAGCTAATCAAGAATATAAAGATAAGTTACTTAGGCAAGGATTTCAGACTGCTTCTTTTCCATCAGTTGATCATGTTGTGATGACTACATTCCCATTCAAAGGAACACTCTCTGTTATGATAGCGATTGCAAGGGTGTATCCAAAACTACGTCAATATCTCAAGGTTTGTCAATGATTAATTTTTAAATTTTAAGTTATATTTTTGAGTTTTATTATTATTATTTTTTTCTTATGTTATGGATAATAATCACTTTTATACACAATTTCTTAATTCTAAATAAGTTACTTTTTGAATGTCAAATTATCTTCAAAAGGTCTGTTGACATTGACTTCATTCTGTTTAAATTAAAAAAAACAGTCTGAAGAAATCAGAAAATATTAATGTATATGAAATATTTAACATCAGAATATATTAATATACTAAATATTTTCTGGCTCCTTGAGACTTTTTCAGTTTTGTGTTTTTCTGTGAATTCAAAAAGTATTTATGCTAGAGTCAAAAATAAACCGAACTTTTAATATAACTTTTATTATATAAATAACTAGCAGACCCCGCCACGCGTTGTTGTGGCTCAAAATGTATCCATTATAAATGTATAACACTTCCCCCGTGTGGGGGGAATTTTTCGAAAAATTTCTTCTTAGTATACATTCTCTCGGCGTACCCTATTAAAACGCAATCAAAAACGCAAAAAGCCGCATCTAAAATAGTATAAATAGAAGCAGAGTTCTTTACGGTAAGCCTTAATCCCGTTCATCTCACCCCAGTGGGGGGAATTTCGACACGTATATTATATAAAAACACGTGCGTATTCGAATTGTGTGAAAATTTCAAAGGAATTGGTAGGAACAAACGAACATTACATTTTTATTTATATAGATAGATAGAAGATGATCTACTTTAGTTCATCCTCACAGAAAAGCAAACTTAGGGCGTCANAATTTTATATATATATATATATATAACAACATTAATTTTTTTATCTTTTCTAAGTTATTGTTACATTATGTTATGTAAGTTAAGTTTTTGTATCATTTCCCTTCTCCCTCTCTTTCGCCACCAGTTTACACCTCCACTGTCGTCTATCATCAAAGATAAAGTGCAAATAAAACTACATTTTTTAATCAATTATTATTCTATTATGGTTATTTATACATTTACAACTACAAAATGCATTTTTCGGTGTTTTCCTTACTATAGTTATTTTTTTAATGTACTACTTAGCTTTAATTTGAGTGTGTTTTTCGTGTTGGAACGAATTATTTGGTTTTACATATAATCGTATGGGAAAAAATGATTCACCTTACGACATTTTCATGATACGATCTCAGTTTCGGAACGGATTAATTTCGTATCCTGAGGTACCACTGTATTTGAAAATTGTTTGATCAAAATTCAAATGAAAAAACAGTGAAATGTGAAAAAAAAGGTAAAAAATATTGGACAGTAATTTTTCACTCACTGATACAGGCCAATTCATTATGCTTATCCTGTTATAGCTTTTGCCTTGCACACTTTTTATTTATTCCCTAAAGTTGAAGGAATATAATATACAATAGCAGGCTTGAAGTGCAGTGATGAAAACTATTAAAGACATTTCAAAAATTGACTTTTGCAGTAGCTGCTTAACAAATCTATACATCAGTAGATTGTGGCAGAAGGAGTTTATTTGAAGGTAATGGATACAAGACATGTTCCAAAAATTTCACTTGGTTTTGATTTTATTACATACTTTTTATTTATGAGAATTTTATATGTAGTTTGTTGTTCATTTAACTTTTCAACTGAAATTAAAATGAGAATCAAAGTCAATTCTCATTAACCTTTCAGCAGTGGGATAGTCAGGTATGGTGCTACCCTGAAGTAGTGGAGAATAAATGTGGGAAATTTTAAACTAAATTTTAAAATATTTTTCCACATGTTTTTTCTCATCACCATTTCGGAAAAAGATTTTGTAAACAGTTATGTCTAGTAAAGAAAAGTCTTTGTTCATTGTTACATAATTCATTTTTTATGTGAATTTTTTTTTGCGGTAGTTTTTGGTGATACCCCCAAAAGAATTTAATGGATATATCAGTTTCTTACCACTGCCACACAATCACCCTGGGCCCCTAATCTTGATTTTTTCGTGTTGTACTTGAATTGATGTTATCGAACTCACTTGTGTTACTATGACTCACATAATTGGTAGTCTCGAGTTAGACCCATCAAGCAAACTCAAAAGGCGAGCGGAAATACATCATACTCACTTGGTTAAGTATGTCATTAAGCATGTAATGATGGGATTATTTACAATGCATCTGAGTTTGCGACTATACTGATTTGACCAATCAACTTGAGTGTAACAAGTTGTAAACAAATCAACATGAATTAGTTTACACATGTTATAGTTAAAAGTTTGTCTTATAGGAATATAGTACACAGAAACAAAATGGAAACCTTCAATGTTTTATTTTAAAAAATAAGCGAAAAGAACAAAAAGAAATATTAGTAACATATATAAAAAATAATAAGAAAATGAACAGTGGAAAATTCTACAACAAATTTACNTTTGATTAGTGCTAAACATTCCGGGGGTCATAAAGATGCTACAGTTAAAATTTGGTAACGATTGGTTCAGTAGTTTTCACGGTTAGTGGTCACAAACGAAAACTACGTTGTCTCTTTATATAGTAGTATAGATACAAGTATTTACAGAAGACTAACTTCAAAATAAACCTTATCTACTGCTTGCAGCTACATACCCCTGCTGACTTACATATCATTTGTCAAAACAATACTGGAAACTTTTTTTGGTCTTTAACATGTTGACTGCCAAACTACAACAATTATCTTGTAGTCTGCGGTGATACTGTACAAGATAACTTATACAGTGTTGTCCATCATGTTTTGCTAGATATGACTATTCCTATAGTAAGTAGTTATTATAACTGATTAGTGTGTGTTGGGAATGAGAACAACACATCAATTGGGCATTATAAAACAAACTATAAAGTTAAAATCTGATATGTTTTCTGTTTTGATTGCCAGATACAAACATTTTTGTAGTAAATATACTAACAAAGTGGCTAATTTGTGCCTGGAATATAAATGACAAATCAATTTGGTGTCATAAAAGGAAATATTTATTGAAAAAATATTGAAAAACATTAAAAAGTAAAAAAAAAAATTATTTATATTATTCAAATTAAGGATATTGTCGCAATTTCTATCTTGGCTTTCATTGTTTATTTCTGGTAGCAAATATTTGTCTGAAAAGAGCATAACAATGCCTTTCTAATTTTCATACTTCCTTCAGAATTATAGCAAGATAAGCTTGGTGAATGTACTCAGAAAGATAATGGAGTGAAAAATTTCCCCAAAAGTAGGTGTCAATGGGTGATTAATTACTGCCCAATATTATACCAGATTTTTCATGAATTTTGAAGTTATGAATGAAAATAAGATTTAAAAATTTTTTAAAAATATCAGTTTCTTTACATCAAATTGTAAAGTAAAAACTATATCATTATTGGAAAAATGAGGCACACAAACAAGATGATATATACAGTGGTACCTCAGGATACGAACGCCCCAGCATACGAAATTTTCAGTATACGACATGAAATTCGAACATATTTTTTCTCCACGATACGAACAAAAACTCACCATACGACGTTANTTATGCTTATCCTGTTATAGCTTTTGCCTTGCACACTTTTTATTTATTCCCTAAAGTTGAAGGAATATAATATACAATAGCAGGCTTGAAGTGCAGTGATGAAAACTATTAAAGACATTTCAAAAATTGACTTTTGCAGTAGCTGCTTAACAAATCTATACATCAGTAGATTGTGGCAGAAGGAGTTTATTTGAAGGTAATGGATACAAGACATGTTCCAAAAATTTCACTTGGTTTTGATTTTATTACATACTTTTTATTTATGAGAATTTTATATGTAGTTTGTTGTTCATTTAACTTTTCAACTGAAATTAAAATGAGAATCAAAGTCAATTCTCATTAACCTTTCAGCAGTGGGATAGTCAGGTATGGTGCTACCCTGAAGTAGTGGAGAATAAATGTGGGAAATTTTAAACTAAATTTTAAAATATTTTTCCACATGTTTTTTCTCATCACCATTTCGGAAAAAGATTTTGTAAACAGTTATGTCTAGTAAAGAAAAGTCTTTGTTCATTGTTACATAATTCATTTTTTATGTGAATTTTTTTTTGCGGTAGTTTTTGGTGATACCCCCAAAAGAATTTAATGGATATATCAGTTTCTTACCACTGCCACACAATCACCCTGGGCCCCTAATCTTGATTTTTTCGTGTTGTACTTGAATTGATGTTATCGAACTCACTTGTGTTACTATGACTCACATAATTGGTAGTCTCGAGTTAGACCCATCAAGCAAACTCAAAAGGCGAGCGGAAATACATCATACTCACTTGGTTAAGTATGTCATTAAGCATGTAATGATGGGATTATTTACAATGCATCTGAGTTTGCGACTATACTGATTTGACCAATCAACTTGAGTGTAACAAGTTGTAAACAAATCAACATGAATTAGTTTACACATGTTATAGTTAAAAGTTTGTCTTATAGGAATATAGTACACAGAAACAAAATGGAAACCTTCAATGTTTTATTTTAAAAAATAAGCGAAAAGAACAAAAAGAAATATTAGTAACATATATAAAAAATAATAAGAAAATGAACAGTGGAAAATTCTACAACAAATTTACAAGAAAAGGACAATTCAATTTGTGGAAAGAATTAGCTGAAAAATTAATTGCATGTGTTGGAGCTAAAAAATCCATTGTGTAATGGAAAAAGTATTTTAATTTAATCCTTTCTTCATAAAGTTTTCTTCCTTGATCTATTTCTTAAATTGTTTTGTCTATTAAGATTATTTATTAATTAGAACTTAACACTTCTAATTAATAAATAATCTTAATATAGTGTCTATGCTTTTAATAATTTATACATATAATTTACTATCATTTTAATTCTCTTTTTCGACGAATTAGACACTTTTTATTTTTGGAAAAATTTGCTGTATAATTTTATCAACTATGAATTAAATTTTTTATTAGTGTTGACCTGACATGAAAAGAAATGGCATCTGCTCATGGTCAAAAAATTCGTTGTCTTCTCAAACAACGTCTTTTGTCTCTTTCTAACTCTTTGATAGTGATAAGAATTGCGTATCCATCAGCCATTTTCACTTTTGTGTAGTGATCTCACATGCTTGACTGAACATGAGTAGCAACTCACATGGGGAGATGGGAAAACATGTGAGGGATAACTTGAGACTGACCAATTTGACGTCAGAGTTTGAGATGGTACCACGTGACACCTTCAACACGTTGAGAGTTGTAACACGAAAAACTCAAGACTAAGGGCCCTGGACGGATATATCTGTCTCACTGTTGAGTGGTTAATTGAATACAGGAAATCCTTGTTAATTTGAACTTGGATAGTTCAAAATTCTGTTAGTTTGTAACATTACTATTTGACCCAGCTGGGGATATAGAGATTTACATGTTAAGGAATTTGGTTAGTTTGAAAATGGCTACTCTGAAATTCTAAGCGAAAATTCTGTCCAAACTGTGATATGTGTATGTTAACTCATTTGTTTAGATTGAAGTGCCTCCATACTATAAGAGAACAATAGACAAAGAACAACGCTAATCTGGTCAACATGGTTTTTGCTTTTACAGTAACACATTTTCGAGTGACACCTTACTATTCTTTTTTTCTCTTACCTCATAAAATAGGGCTGGGTTTTGGGATTTCAAATTTGGGCTACAAATAGCAGATTGAGATATCTGTAGGGCTGTCTACAACCATACAGATTTGGGTAACTTACTACTTTTTGGACTTCTTTAAAAATACTTTAGGTTACACTTCAAGAAATTCTGTTTTAATTTTTATAAAACCTACCTGGCAACCTGTGAGATTCTCACCAGTCACATTCTGTTTACCTGCAGTTTATTTAAATTATCATCATCAATTAACAAAAATAGCATTCTGTATAATAGCCATATTCCATTTGCTTAATAAATTACATCAGCTACAGCGTTTGGCATATTGTACAGAAATATTGATATGTAAATAATAATTTGTAAGTTGATAATTTCAAGTCACCATTATTTTGTCCCTTGAATTTCAAACTAATGAGGATTTCCTGTAGTATGTTTTTATTTATGATATGGACTGTTTATTTTGAAAGTGATGTAAGTCCATTTTTGGAAAAAAATTGAGAAATCACATAATACAGCGGAACCTCGGTATACGACCTTAATCCGTTCCTGATGTTTGGACTTATACTGAATAGGGCGTATACCAAACCAACCTTTCCCATAAGAAGTAATGTAAAAATGATTAATATGTTCTCATGAAAAAAAATGGCTGGCTTTTACACCTCGCTTTCCTGGCTAGTTCCTGCTTGAATTTTCATGAGATCAGCATGTATCTTTTTAGCTTTCTCGCAAATAATTGCTTCCGATATGCTGTCTCCAGCACACTGTTTTTCAGTTATCCAAAGCAAAAGCAATTTCTAAACATGATCTAATGTCTTCGATCTCTGTTTAGAAATTGATTTAAATTAATTAACCCCTTTCACAACGTTAGCAGATTTAATAATGTCTTTATTTTTCACGATTGTCGATATCGTCGTTCTGGGAATACGGTATGCAACAGTTAAAATCTCGAACACGCATGCCACCTTCATATTTCTCAACAATTTCTTTTATCAGTTCCATTGTGATCCTAGTCATTTTTTTTAGTTTTCTGTTGCTTTTCATTTGCATTTTTGCAATTCATGATTAATAAAAATAATAACATTTTACTTACAAATTAAAATCAGAAAAAATTTAACAAAGTTATAAACCGTTGCACCGCAAACGTCTAGTCTGATCTAGTACACCGATAGTGCTACTTGTTCATAGATAACGCGTATAATTGAATTAAGTCGTATACTGAACAAAAGTCATATACTGAGCAAAATTTGTTTCGTCCAAATAGGACGTATTTCGAATTGGATGTATTCTAAAGCAGACGTATACCGAGGTACCACTGTATATATACAATTTAGTGTGAACTTTTTATTTATAAACAATTCACACTTAGCATTTTAAAATAACATATACTTTGATGAATTAAAAATTCATCAGTAAATGACATTGCATAACCATTGATTATGAAAGTGGTGTAAGTCCATTTTCTGTAGTCTAATTATTAAGCACTTGGGCTGTCCATAAATTAATCTGCATTTTTCTTGAAATTTTTACTCTCTCTCTTGTCCCAATTTGTCTAAGTTTTTGTAACTAACCCCTTCTCCTTCACGGATGTCCAACATAACTCAACCCCCATTAAAACCTTCATTACTTTATGAATGACAGATATCGTAAATAGAAATGAAACATACAAGAAACTGAAATAAATATAATAAAGTGCATAAACTGTATAAAATTTAATGAAATAAATGGATGTCCACTAATGCTAAATCCCCTCCCTCCCTTCCAATGTGGACATCATTTATGGACAGCCTCTTACAACAGAGGATAAAACTATGAATTTTACCAACAAATGTACAATTTGATGGAATGGAAAAAATCCATGTAATGAACCTATATGAAAAGCAGTGTCTAATGATAAGCTCATGATAATGATAAACTTATTATAAAATAGTTTAACAATAAGTAAAAATTTTTAATGTTCAGAATAAACAACGCTATTTTATTTCTTGTTGTTATATATAAATAAATAAATAATTGCTTACTGGAATTAATTAAATAATTTATTCCAGCATTAAATGTTGTGCTGGACTAGAGAAAGGTGTTTGTTTATTTAATTATATATAAACAAAATCAGAATAAAACACAATGTGTTTCAAGTGAAATTGAGTTTTACAAAATATAAATTTAATGAATATTACAGTTCAATAATTATGAAAGTGGTGTAAGTCCATTTATTACCCAGAAAGAATATATTCGTTTAATTAAATTCACATAGAATTCTTTATGCAATCAACTTACATATTTCTAAAGTCATAGGAACATTGTCAAACTTAGTACAATTTATTTATATTTTTGAATTAACTAAAATGCAAATGTTTAAATATCTTGAAAGAAGAAAAAATGGACTTGCGCCACTTTCAAAATAAATGGTCCATATATGAACATTTATTATCTGCATTTTATAATGGAAAAAATTAAAGTAAAACTATTTAGTTTATCCAACATTTATTAGAATTATCCTTATCACAGTTGATACTTCAAATGCTAGATTGGCTAGTAAAACTTCAAGATACATTAGATCTAGGATTTAAGAAATTAAAATATCAATATATAAATTTACATTGAAAAAGAAAAAGTAACTAATGACAGACATTTCTGAAATAATTAATTTAAAACAATATTATTTTCTTTAAATTTGTAATATTAATTATTTTTTTTTTTTTTTCAAACAATCTTTTGGAAAGTTTCAGTAAATAAATCGAACAAGTTCTTAAATAATAATAACCAGCTTTTAAAAATATGAACTGTCAATTTTTTAATGCCTTTGCATATTTGATAAACAGAATTTTATTTACTTAAATTTAGGAAAGGAAACTGTGTGCTCATCCAGTCATGGAAATTTATAATAAAGAAGAAATTGTCTTCTTAGCTCCTTTAGCTAAGCAAGATGAATTTTATGTTTCAGAAGCTTTAGAAGAAAGTGAAGAAGAAACCCCATCTAATCAAGTTCAATCAGACTCAGATATGTCAAAAATAACAGAAATAGAAGGAGAAAAAGTTTCAGATGAAAGAGAGACAGTTCCGCCACCTCCCTTTAGTGGTTCCAGTTGTTCCAATAGTGTTGAATTTATATCACATGTTGATGTTCCAGAAGAAAATGGAAATAGTAAAGCTAATGGTTCAGACAGAAGCACAGCATCATCATTTGAGGAATTACAAATGGATTCATGAATTATTTTTAAATACAGAAAATGTTTTACAAATAATCTTTAGTATTTTCTTTGGAGCTGACAGTAATTTGGTCATTAATACCAATAATGCTCCAATCAAATAATACTTGTATTTGATGTTATAAATTCACAAATTTAATTATGCTAAGAATGCCATCTCTTTTATGAAAAAAAAATTTTTTTTATTAACATTTCAGCTTCACTAGTATACGTACAATCAGGAATATTTTGTTTCCAATATAACTATTAATAATAATATATAAATTATTCAAGATACATTCCATTTTATTAAGCTATTTTATAAGATTTATATTTAACATTAATAATCATTTATACTTGTAATAAGTTAGTTAAAAAATTAGAAGTTTTTTACATTAATATTAATAAGATTGTATCAAAAAATATATTCCTTTCATATATTTTTATTTTCTATAGATTATGTAGTTTATACTTTGGTTTAAGATGGTATTCTTAGCAACTAGAATTATATATTATAGTTAGATATTACCCTTATAGTGCCAGATTGAATTAGAACTTTACATATCTCATTGAAAAAGTGCTCATTATCAATTCTTATAAGTTTTCAATTAAGAATTTCCTTCTAAACAGCTGATTTCTGTTTTATCTCGTTCTCCTGACAAAAAAATAAGTTAAAATCTTTTCAAAAATATACTTAAGTTATATGTTCCATTATTTTAGATAGATTTCATTAATAAAAATTTATTTCAATTCAAAATAAATTGATGCAAAGCTGAGTTTTATAAATAAATATTTTAAAATGTTAAGTAAAAATCTCAACATACTGACACTAAAGGCTAATATGATTAAAACTTAATCATATGTTATTTTAATGAGTTTTGAAAATGTTTTAAGAAAAGAAATAATAATAATTTAAATTTTTCTATCTTCCTTAGATTTTTATGGAATTTACTAGTTATTTCCCTCAATATTGTCTAAAATTCTTGGCATTTAAATATGAATGTTATGTGATATTTAAAATGGCTATAAAAAATCAAGCTATAAAAAAGATCTCCAATGTTATTTTCTCACTGTTACATTTATACAAAAAGATGTAAAATCACTTCAAGAGTTACACATGATCAGAATTAATTTTGGAAAGCTTGGTGATAGTAACTACTTATCTTTTTTAATGTAGTGAATTTATTTAAAGTCATATTCAAAAGATATATTCTTCCTTTATATGATGGAAATACCAATTTATCAGTGTTATAAAGAAAAATCTATATTGCTAAGTCATTATCAAAAGTATTATATAAGAAGATTATTCTAATATTGGGCATCACCTCAAAAACAAAGTGCACATTCATATAATGTACATACGTAGATGTAAATTCTTTGTGTAATTAAGGATAATCTTTGTTTTGTGATATTTTCGTACATTTATAATTTTGTAATTTCCTTAATGTCAGCCATTAAATTTTCTTGCAGAGATCCTCAAATTTAGAAATATTTCAGTGAAAAATGCAAATTGAGACTCTGCAGGCCAGAGTGCCTTATTCAAGAGTATATTTGCAATTTTAGTAATTATTTGTTTATATAATTTTAATTAAAAATAAATATTTTTTAGTTAATTTTAGTTCAATCAGTATTTGAATTTTTAATATTCAATATTTCTTCCTGCGTAAATTTCAGCATTTGTTTGCACAATGAAAATTGTGTAATGTTATGAATAATTTAAATAAGTAATTGTTGTAAATCTAATAGCATAATTCATCTCTTTCATGTCACAAGCTCTAAATTCAGCAATGGAACTGTAATGTGCATTACTGATGTCATTCAGTAAAAATAGTTGTGAATGCTGTAATGTATAATCAGTGATGTGTGATGAGTTAACATTAAACTATGCATAAATTATAAATATTATTCTGCTTTGTTGTTTAGATATTTAACTAATGTAAAATTACGTATTTCGTTTAAAGTTCGAAATTTGTCACAAAAAATGTCATATTAGTAAAAGATAAGAAACTTGTTATATGGAGAGATCGTGAATAGAATTTGTCTTATGATATTCCTGAAATTCATAAAATGTTTGCTCATTCGCACTATTGTAAAACATTCAAAATTCGTAAAAATGAATTTCATTGCTTTAAAGCAACGAAATAGCAATAGAAATATTTGTACACAAGATGTTCCCTGTATTTTCTTGGTTATTTGCATTTGCTTTCATAAGGATTCCACGATGTGAAAAGTATTCATATTAAACTTAATTTGCAACATGTTAATGAAATAATTTTCTGTTTTATTTATACCTTCGTAAAAATAGTCATTTAAATGATTCAGCAATATAAGTATAATAACTGGACTTCTTGAGCAGCTGTGTATTTAAGGTGTATATATATAGGCCTACACATACAAATTTTGCACGTTTTTTCATTAAATTAAAGCGTATTTTTCATGCACGCTTTGTCATTATTAAACCAACAAACAATCTTGTAGATTGCTGATTTAATAATAATGACGATTTACATATTAAATAGGACATACAGTGGAACCTGGTTAACTTGAATCTCGTGGAAAAAATTCACACTTGGGTTAACTCGAATTCCGCGAAACTTTTTAACTTTGATTTAACATGTTATGCTAATCTATTGGGGAAAGAAAATGACGTCGAGTTAACCAGATTCCACTGTATTTCTAAATACGGTAGTAAAGAAACTGTAAACTTAGTTTTGTCATTCTTGATGGTAAAAATTTAATAAACCTGCTTTTTAACACATTTTTATGAAAATGCATTAATTCTCAACAGACCTTTCGGGTTGTTTATATGTCAGTTTATTAAAGTTCTTTAAAGACGACAATAAAATCAGTTTTACATCATTTTTCTATTGAATGTATGCAATTATGACGCTAATTCCGACGAGAGCATACCTACAAGAATAATAAGAATTGGGTCATTGCAGTAGCCTTAAGAAAATGTTTCATTGGTCATATTCGTTATTTTAGAACTTTTCGTCAATATACAATTTTCCATACACACTTTATATTAATTAACTTATATACTGTATATAATAGCTTTCACAAGTAAATTTCTTATTTAAATAAGTTAAAAGCACTACTATTTCACACCAAAATGGTACGTCGCGTCGTGAGAAATCTGGCACCTAACATATCACGATTTCGGTTTATCAGCAGTCTTTTCCAATCAGCTTTATTCTAATTAAAGCATATACATTTCTTTGAATATCATTATTTAAAATCAACCTTCGGTGCGCACAAACATTTTTAAAGATCGGCATGCTTACTATATGGCCCACAGACTCAAAAAGGTTCACAGTTTGTTTGTGACAACGCGCAACACTTGGGCCATCTGCCTGGGGGATGCCTTCCGGGAGGTCTTTTTAAGGAAAACGCCCGTTTATACATTACAGACGTTGAGAGAAAACGTGGCTAGCCCGTCCGAGTGAGGCGCGAACCCACGTCTGAACTCCTAGTGTTTAGGGAACGAAAACCGCTTGGCCACTGATGCGCCCGAAAAGATTCGCCTCCGTATATTAATTAAATATCAGGCCGGATGCCCAAGCAGTCAAGACGGGAGCCTATTGCTCTGGGGGACCCAGGATTGAATCTCAACTGGGTCGCAAAACTCCCAGGCATTTTTCGGGGGGTGGATCATCCGAATTCCAGATATGTCATGGTCCTGTCCCTCACCACCCAGCCGTCCCATTGTGGTCATGGTCGAATCATAATGGGCTTGCTAAAAGACGCCCTCTTAGTGCCCACAGGGCAGAAAGAATATAAAAAATTTTCAACTGGCAAAGAGCTTAATTTTGAGGGTAGTAGGGTAGCGATGAGTTTTATAAGAGAATTGTAAATGTTAATAACGAATAAAATTATTAAGTCCATCCTTTTTCGAGATCTGACACAATACTCCTCTATTTCCCCACCCCTTTAACCATCAAAATTTAATAGCATCAATGTTCCTTGTACACAAGCTATCATGCCAAATTTCGTTTCATATAGATGCCAACACATATACAGAATATATTTTTTTTTTTTTTTAATTTTTTGAGTTCAGGAGGTGTCAAAATGTGAAAATTTGTAAAAAATCTCTGAGGGTCAAATTTAATACGATTCCAATGCTTTTTCCTTGTTACGTATACATAACAGTTGAGAAAGTAAAATTAAGCATGTTTTAGAAATGCATTTAACTTATCATTACAGATCCTTTTGTCTTGTTTATAAACGTTTAAATAAATGTTAAAGAAAGAAATGTCTTGTTATTTATTTTCAAAATTAAAAAAAAAATCTAAGAAGAGTCATTTTGACTATCACCATCTCAGCTAAGAGAAAAACGCTTCCTTCCCTTTGCAACACTTTTACACAAGTTAGCATATTCTAAGTCGTTGCCTTTACACAATACAAATGACACTTTTGACTAAAAGGAAAATGGCGGACGTGTATTCAATTTTCTTTAAACATGGCATTGCTACAGCCAGAGTCGGTAGATTACCTGGTCTTTCGACTAACAGTTCAAACTTAGCTAGAGCCAGTATTTGCCGCTATTTGACCCTCGGTTGGTAGAAGAGCTTTTTCTTGCTTTGGATATACTGGTAAAGCCAGTGATTTCGACCTATAATAGTTGTTTTTTTTTACGCTAAAATGTCAGCGTGTTTTCTGCCAGGATGCAAGGCAGGATATGTCATCAAACGAGAAGAGACATTTCTTCCGTATTCCTGGCGATAAGATTAAAGCGTGGATGCGATGCATTCCACAAGAGGACAAGATGCTAACAAGTAAATGTTACGTTTGTGACGTACATTTTACAAGTAAATTTATTTTAAAAACCTACTCCGATGTTATAAATGGAGAGAGAGAAATTCCACGAGATCGCAGGTATTAACATCAGATGCATATCCATCAAAATGGCCCACAAGTTGCCAAGCGGTTCTGTTCGCTGAACACGGCGTTCGGTGGTGGGTTTGTTCCTCACCAGGACAGGCTGACCACATGGAGTTATCCGTGCTTTCTCCACGTCTATAACGCCCGAATAGGGCCAGTTACTCTTAAAATAACCTCCCGTACAGCATCCCCCAGGCAGGTCGCTCAAGTATTGTGTTGCCGTAATTTTACAAAACAAACATATCCGTGTCATGTCGTAACTCTCCTAAGTATGTACTTTTTTTTTTTTAACTCTTTCCGCCCCGTGGGCACTAAGAGGGCCTCTTTTTGTAAGCCCATTATGGGTTCGGCCAGGCGCACAATGAGGCTGCCAGGTGGTGAGGGACAGGGCCCGACATATCCGAACGGACCACCCCCGAAAAATTCCTGGGGGTTTTTTTGACCCGTTCGGATTCGATTCCGGGTTCCCCAGAGCGGTAGGCTGCCACCTTGACCGCTCGGCCATCCGGCCGCGAGCCTAAGTATGTACTATACATTAATACCTCAAAAACCATCAACGCAATGTCTAACAACAAATGAAGAGCCATCTAGTAAGAGCTTACGAACACACAATACCAAAGATAATATGATAATATATGTTTGTTATCTAATCTTAAAGGAAAGTGGAATAACAGAACAGCTTTAGGGTGCGACTATTCAGACACGAATTTAGTTGCGAGCGATAGTTCTCGTAAAGGAAAACCATGCACATGCGAGAAGCGAAAAATCTCGCTGGCGAGAGCGAATTTCTGGTTCTTGCACATATCTGACAGGGTTTGCTATTTATCGCGTCTCGCCTCTTCTCGCTCGCTCGCGTCTGCATAGTCGCACCCTTATTGTACCCCATAGCTCCAAACAACAACATTAAACTTTCATCACATTGAAGAGCAAGCTTATGTAGAATAATTGCACTGTAGCCATTAACTATAATGTCTTTTTATTAGGATCTAAACAATTTTTATTGTATACATAATCACGGTTTTGAGCAGTAAATATCAAAAATCTTCACTATCTCTCTGTGGCTCACCTTACCTTATAAACACTTTAAGATTGATAAAGAAATATACAATTAATCATTAGATTTGCAAGATATACACTTCCAAGTACAACTGGAAGAACATGTAAGAACGCCGATTGGGGGGAAAATCTTTTATTTCCCTACCGTCGGGATGGTCTAAGGTCTACGCGTATGTGGGTGACGGTTTTTAATTAAATTAAAGGCAGCAAAGACAAGTGTTTTACAAAGGTAAACCGTTTATTCCGGACGATAATGCTTACATAAAGTCTTTCGTTGACAAAGTCCTGTGTTATAGGAAAACTTCGACGTCGGTACCGGTCTTGCGTTGTCGGTAATTTCGGCGGCGATCTGGTCCAGCGTCGTAGGGGCCCCTTTTGACAGTGTTGAGAGAAAAAGTTCAAAGTCTCTAAAGCTGGTGCACAAAAAGAAGAACGGAGGTATAAAAATAAGCGGAGACGACACGAACACAACAGAAGACTAGGTGGGAGTCTTGGTGGAAGTCCCGCTGTCCTTGGAATTGATGCTTTTATAAGTTTTTCGGGATCGGCTTTTTGCTAATTGGATAGACCTTACATCACCGTTTTCCAATTGGTCATCCACCTGTCTCCAGGTGTAAACTGAGCTTCGTAAAGCTCGCGGGAAAGGTCGGCTGAAGATGGTTTATCCGACACCATCTTTTCGAAACTGATCGCGTTTAATTGTTAACTATGACACATATGCTTTTTGATATTTTTTTTCTAGTTTCGTTTTGCTTTCTAAACTGCGTCTTAACTTTAATATTTTAAATGTTCTTCTTTTATATCTAAAATTTTGTTTTTCCCGTTATTCTCTATGAGCGCTGACGTCAAAGTCGGGTATCGCCGATTCGATACTTATATAATTTGCTTTCTTGGCGATTTAACTTAACAAACTTTTTTTTTCTTATATCTTTCCCTTTTACGGGGGCTATTTCCGGGGCCTCACAAACATTTACAAAATTTGCTTTGTAATCCAAGCCTGTCCTCTGGAGATCATACTGACAGTAAATTATTAGCAGAGCCGTAACTAGCCATTCCTGTGCCCTGTGCAAGAATTTGCATTTAGGCCCCTTAATTTATTTGGTTTGGGAAAATAATAAAACAAATATATTACAATAGATTTTTAATAAGATTTATTTTAATTGAACTTTTCTGGCTTTCATTTCAGCAAATTCATTAATTACGTGATCATAATTAATATTTTTAATGATAATGTATTCTATTGAAATAATAGAAATATTGGACAATCGTTCTTGCCCTATAGTTAATCTTAATAAATTTTTTATTAATTTTAACTTGCTAAAACTTCTCTCGCACGAAGCAATAGAAACGGGAAGAGTTAGAAATATTCGAAGAGCGACATTGATATTTGGGTAAGACTCAAACCAAAATCATGAAGAGCCTGTAGAATATTAAGCGGAGATGCAGTATCTATATTTTGTATAAGAGTCGTTACTTCAAAATTAAAATTTTCAATTTCACTTGTGAATTCGTACTTTTTTAAATCTTTGCTATATTTAATAGTGAGATCTGCAGCCGATTTTTTTTTTAAATCAGCAACACTCATGTATTGTAAAGAAGAGCCACAGAGAAAGCAAAAATCAGCCTTTTTTCAATAGCATTTTAAAGACCTCGGGGGCCCCTTCGAGGCCCTACTTGGCCGCATAGTTCGCTTACCGCTTAATCCGCCGTTGAGCCACTACAAAGCAAAAAGTTAAGTCAGAATTTCTGCACGCCTTTTACAACCTCGAGACTAAGATTTTATTCGAGAGTTACCACGTCTTCTATTTAGCAATTTAGC